ATAAGTCATTGCCTTTCATTGAATTTTCTTATCTCATACACAGAAGTAGCTGTGAGTCTGACACCACCTAGGATTGTTGTCATTATGGGTGTGGTCTAGAAAACAAAGGGGTAAAGAGAACACATACAACACACATTTGAAGTACTGTGATATGTCAAGGTTTCCTGTTAAATTCATAAACAGCTATAGCTAAATTCACAAACTAATACAGGAACTGCATAAGTGTAATCCACATTGTTTCCCCCAATGTGGCACAATTACAGATCACTTTATCGTAACTACTTGTGAATACCTACTGAGGGCGAATTAGAAGTGCCGGCACCCAGACAGGCTGGCACGCTACGGCTAGGCACACTGACACAGTGCACGCCTGCCAGCCGTGGGACAGGACCAGAACTGACCCCAGTATACGAAAACACAGGAGAATTGGAAGGCTGACAAGTACTTTTTTTTTCTACTGCTGTAACACACGTCCCCACATTTCCTCATTCCAGATAATGGGGAATAAAGTCCCATTTAAGGTGTGAGTCCCTGAAGCAGTGAGGTGCTCTTTTGGTTAATCTCCTCTGCTTCTGCGCAGTGGGAGAACCTCCCGTGCTGCTCCTGACACAGGAGAAATTCCAAAAGAAATGAGCTGCATCTACACTCATCCAGGGGTGGTGTCCTCTTCAAACAGATGGATTCCCCTTGATTCTTCTTTCTTTCAGAGCTGGGCATCCGGCCCAGGGCCCTGTGTGTGCTAGGCAGGTGTTCTACCTCTGAAGCACAACTCCAGCCTTTCCTTGCTTTTCATTGAGAAGTAAGAGGGCCTTCTCCATTTTACTGGCGACATGGGACTGAAGCTAGAAAGTCAGAAAAGAGTTACCGCCCTCCATTGTTTCCCCTCCATCCTGCTGTATAAATTCATGCAAGGGACATGGCCTGGAAGGTCAGACCTTGATGAAAAATTAGCACCAGCTTCCCCTTCTAAACACTGTTTTATGTGATGCTCGGCAAGTGCTCGTTTGTGTGAGAGGTGAGATGGGGGGGGGGTGTCAGAGCAGTCAAGGTTCCAGGACTGAATGCTGCTCTAGCCACACGTCTCCTGTCTTTCCCTGTCACCCGTGCACACCGGATTACTTGAACGAGATTGTACATTTTGGAAAATGCCGAAAGTGAAAGACTAGACAATACCGGCTTTTGCTGTATTTTTCTTCCACAAAGGATTTACCCTGGCAAACTGAGAAGAATGGAGTAGGATGTAATAATTACATTTTAGAGCTGTTTTCCACGGTCAACTTCCCTGCAGCCTGAGGGCAACCAGTGCTGTGGTACCGAACACCTACTGAGTGCCCAGGCCTGTGCATTGCTACTCATCCCCTAGCTCTTCCCTATACATAGGTCTATGCTCTGTATGAGCGCTAATCTCCTGCTGAACATCCCAGTTTCCCTGGATCCTGCCCAGGGACTGAGAGCCCAACTTATCTTGAATCTTAACGTGCATCCTGGTCTGAGGCACTTGTTAGTTCAGTGAATGGTGACTTCTTTGTGCTTGCAAGACAACATTATATCTAAAGTCTGTCCCCAGTAACTTAAAGTGAGAAATAAGGAATTTCAGGTATAGGTGCCAAAGAGTATCTTTGGAAGTTAAATAAAAAAAAAAGACTCTGTACAGCAATCCATAAGTAGCAAAGACCAGTATCCCTTGTATTTAAGCTTGTATTTAAGCCTGTATTATCCCTTGTATTCAAGCCTGAGCATATTTAAACTTATTTGCCATGCCTCTAGTGCAGGCAGCTGCTAAGAGTAGCCGACTGAACTCCGTTCTCATCGGCAGAGCATTTTTTACTTATTACTTTGTGAGCTCTGAGGCAAAATTTGCAGAAGAGGCGGTTCCATCCATACTTAATTACAAGAATTTAATACCATGAGCTACTGTCTTAATTTCATCTCGCCCAAATGCCACCTCTGGTTGTTATTTATGCAATGAAATGATGGAATTCCCGAGTCCAACTCCTTGGTGTGCGGTTGATTCTATTCCCATCATTTCACATTCTTGTGGACACAATAAGATTCAAAAGTCAAACCTTAGAGCCAATCATAGTGAAGAGACGGGATGTGCTTGGCTGTAGCTTTTCAATTTTGGAAGACAGGAAGAAGCTGTCCACTGGAAGAGTTGATCATTAAAGTCTCCACCAGCAACTACTTTAAGCAGTAAAAAGAATAAGCATTGGTCGGTCTTACTTCTTACCATGAAGTCATCTTCTTTTATTCGTGAAGTTTATTAAATGGAGGAGCAGTTTATGTCTGATGGGTAGAGTGGCATCTGACCATCTGTTGCTGGGAAAGTTTCATGAGAGAGATTCGTGAGAAGTAACGTTGGCATTTTATAGTAGAAACCATATTAGTAAAGATTAGGTTTAGCCATACCTCACTTCTGTGCGGTGGGAAGAGTGAAGGGAGGATGCTTTTCCTACAATAGGATGAAGGAAAGTTTAACAGTGTGGACACAACAGTGGTAAACAGGAGCGTGTATCCTTAAACTGCTCGCTAAGAAGTGCCCATCTAAAACTAAGCGTCACTCTGGTCATTTAACAATAATTTAAGCTTACTCGGGAAAAACAAGATCCTCAAGGGCTCTTTCCATATAATTAAACTTTGCATTTGCAATACTGTAGATGGTCATTTTCTGCAACTGTGTATGAAATAAATTATGTCTTCCAGTGGGTTCTTTGCAGGTACCTACATCACATGGGGCTCATTTAATTGCACCTAACAGAGGGAAACAACACCTGTTTCGGGTTTTAATGTTTATAGTGTATTGATCTCTTACAATGTAGCTGGGGTTGTCTCCTTAGGGTCTAGCCAGGGATACAGAGAGTGCCATTGGCTTTTCTGAACCTCACAACACAACTTTCTGGAGTGTTGATTCATTTCAAGTTATAAATTATATTCAGTTCAAAAGGGGGCCATAGCAACTCCCACAGATGGGGTGGCTTGCACGTAAGAACTCCTAAGACCTCAGGGTTGTGAGGCCCAGTAGGGTATAGAGAAGGTGCGGCAGGAAGTGGCTCCTCCCAAGGCTGCAGAGTGCAGATCTTCTGTGCCACTCTGTTAGCTTTTGGTGGCAGCTGTGGGCTCCCATCATCTAGAATCCAGGACCTCACTGTCATGAGCCCTCTTCCACGTCTGTGTCTCTGAATCTCTGTCTCTTTATAAGGTCATCCATCAGGGCCAATACCTCATGAAGGATCCAATTCCAAATAAGGTCACATTCACAGCCACGAAGAAGCTAAAACTTCAACACCTGGTTTCAGGAGAAGACAGTTCAACCCGCAGCGTATTTGATGACACACTGTCCAAGGGCAGCACCTTGCCTGTATCTTTCCAGGTTTAAATCCAAAAGCAATTAAAAAGTGTCTTTCTCCTAACTGTATGGACTATTGTTTAGCCCTCAGGAGCTCTACACCCATCAAATGGTATTGGCAGAGAGATATTCAGGCCTGCACACTCTACCCTGCCCTTAGACACAGACACCAAGAATAGAGGAAAGACTAGTTTCTCAGGGAATAATTAGAAATCTTTACCATTGAGTATTGGGTACCAGATGGCCAAACAATTGCAGTGCATCAAAACACTTTAGAGAGGTTATAAGATAACACTATCACTATATCCAAGTAGGACACAGTATAGATATGTGGGGCTCCTATTTGCCAACCATTTGTTACTTTTCTGGTTTTATGTCCCATTTTATTGAGATAACAATTAACTGACATTAATGTGTATACATTTAAGATATAGATGTGTTGAACTTTAACAATGAAATATGTGAGTCCCTGTGAGTCACTGCGAGCATCACGGTTGGCAGCAAAATATTCTGCAGAGAGGCAAGAATGAAAACTCGGTTCAGCGTGACTTAGCCAAGATGAAAAGTTCATCAGGGCAGTTTATTTTAGACATATTTAAGTGCAGTACAATTTTGGATAAATGTTTCCTGGTAACAATATTCCAATCCCACGTACACAATAAAGCTTAAGATGTGGCTACATCTTTGCAAAGCACTTGTGACCTCTCCCGTGAAGACCTCTTGCCTAAGGGCATAGGAGCTGGTGTGGTCTCTGACAGATGTAGCATTAGAGGTGAGCAGCCTGTAAAGAACAGGTGATATCTCCCCTAACTATGGGTTCCCTTGACTTAGAAACAAAGCCAAATAAACAGGCCTAGCGAGGGAGAGCCTGGGATAAACAGTCTGGGGATTTGGGGTGAGGTCTGACTCTACAGGTAGCAAAGGTCACCAGATCATTCGCGACTTCCACTCCCAACCTTCTGGGTGGAAAACAGGTACACCTTTCCTTCATGGAGGAAACAACCTGATTTCTCTAGTGCTTACCTGTGAGCACTCCTGCTCTCTGCAATGAAACAATCGCATCTGAGATAATTTGATATTTGTATCCTCAATGGTTTTCTTACATACTTTTATCATCCATAGCTCTCGGCCTTGACTACTGTTAGACAGCTTTTGGTCTACTGTATGTCGCTAAGTAATATCATTCATTTAAAAACTGGACTTATACCCAGGCATTTTTTGTGTCTCAGTTTTCTATTCAACATAATTACTTTGAGATTCATCCAAATATTTACATGCAAGATATTTTTGATAGCAGATTCTTTGTAAATTGCCCACTAGCTCTTTTTTTGTACTGATCATAGATTTTGGTCATCAGTTTGCCTATGGATGGACATTTGAGCTGCTTCCAGGTAGGAGAATATTTAAAAATGAAGATCTCAGTTGAAAACATTCATTTAACATTAGAGTTTCATTTGCTTTGTGATAGATTAATTGTGTGTGAATATAGCATGCATTGCAATGTTTAGGAACTAAAGATGTTCTTTCTTCACCCTGCCAATCCTGGGGATTGAATCTCGGGCCTCACATATGCTAGGCAAGTACTTTACCACTGAGTTAGAGTCCCAGCATAGGGGAAAAAAAGATAATAAATGTTTTCTTCTTTTCTTTCCAGATACTGAGGAGAGCAGACAAAAATGGTAAGACCAAATTTATACAATTTCTATTTAATTAATTCATTATATTTTAGACTATCTTATAAAGAACAAAGATGTTGAAAGTCCTTGAAATTGACCTATAAAATATAATTCATCAATAGTTATCATTTTCATCAAGTTATGGCTCCAGATACTCATGAAAAGAGGCAGGTGAATTCAAGTTTGACAGCAAGATGGAATTTATGCTTTTGAAGTAAGGAGTCCTGTCATATATGGGCTGTGATTTTTTTCCCCTGTAATGCTTGGGGAAAATAGAGAAATAATCGCTTCGATTGACTGAGTGCACTGAGCTGTGTGCTTTGTCTGTTGTGTCTTAAGAGTTCTAAGCTAGAGTGCCTTGAACATAAATCTGCTTGGTACCAGCATCTAGGCACACTAATCTCACGGTGGCCTAAGGCGTTCCAAGGGCACTGTGGGACGGCTGCCTGGAAACAGTATGGCTTACTGCTGTATCTGAGGCATGGGAAACTCTCATCCACAGAGACAGAGAAGGAAGAGACGGCAAACCAGATATAAAAGTCTGCCCTGAAAATCTAGAGGCGGCTCTGCTAAGTCCAACTATGAGCTCATAGGTAGATTTCACTCCTTGAGTTCACTAGAAGTCTCCTTCCACAGAAGCGGAGCTTGTTAAGTTTGTTCTAGGGAAGTGCTTCGCCGGAGTTACATTACTGGTAAGAGTGGCTTGATGGTTTTTAGGGTACAAAGGCTTCCTTCGCTTTCTGGGAATTTCACTTCTCATCTCCAAGAAAAGAACGCTGACAGAAATGACTATTAAATCATGTTATCTAGATCTCCCTTAAGCATCCAGACCCAGAAGAGCTTTTTTGCACTGTGTACCTTAGTTCTCAGCATCCAGGGAGCTCTGGGAAAGCACCCGAGTCTGAGACCATAAATCCCTTTCTTCAAGCAATATTGCAGCGATTGTTATATCGCCAGTTCAGGGCATCTTTATTCACTTGTGTGGTCTCATTACTCTTGAACATGGAAGTGAGGAGGCTTTCATATCTGACCTTTAACCCTCTGCTTAGTACCCAGCCCCAGGGGTGCCGGGGTCGGGTAGCACATTCGTCTATGCTCTGGTCTGCTGTACTGACAGACAGACCTGACCCCTCTCACCTGAAGCCCCTTCTCTCTCAGGTTGTGCCTTTGTTTACTTGGATCTCCAGATTCTGGTAAGGCCTGGTAATTTTTACCTTTCTGTCCATCTTCCTGCTCTCTATCAAAACTATCATACTCCACAATCATGGTAAAACCCAGTTACCACAACCCATATTCATGGCAAAAACCATCCGACAAATCAATTCCCATGAATGAATTTAGAGGCTGATGGTGCCCCCATATTTTATGGTACACAGAGAAGTTACCTGTTCCACCCATCCCTTACTACCACCAGCCCCTCCCCCTAACATGATTCCTTTCTGTTCCCTCCTCCTTTCTCACGTCTGCTTTTACCACGTGATGAAACCTCCTTCTCCCTGCTCTTATCTCTCTCAGTCTTTACCTGCATTTATCCTGCAGTCCTCTGAAATATACAGTTTCCTGAGTGTTTCTCCTTACTCACACCTCCATGACACAGGCCTGAGTAATCGTGGTTATTATGACTTTCCACTCTAGGGACCTTGAGAATGTCCACGTCTTGCATATTGTCTTGCACAAAAGGCCTCCTATCTAACTCTTCCCTATACTGCAGGGACCCCACCCTCTCTCTGAGTTCCTAACTCTTCCCTAGGCTGCAGGGACCCCACCCTCTCTCTGAGTTCCTAACTCTTCTGCATATATAGATCATTGTAGTGGAGGGCTAAAGTTGATTGAGATTCCAGTTTGCTTAGCCACACTTGCTTCTCTAGTGCAAAACTCTATCTTGTGCATCAACACTATGCCTAGCACGCACCTTTACACTAGTGAGTATTTGTTAAATAAGTTCCTAGTGAAGATACTCTGCCAGGATACGCTGCTTTGATCTGTTCACTCCTCTCTGCCTTCTCTCTGCCTTATTCTTCACCCTGACTCTTGGTATAAAGTTGGGGCATGCTTGGAGCCTCGCAGTTCTGGGCCTAAATTACAGTTATCCTACCTCATGACTCCATGGATGCCAGGAATCACCGTCAATAGCACATGAGACAACGTCAGACCTCTGGGGTGGTGCCTCATACACAGTAGCAACTCAGTTTCCAAGTTGTGAGCTCTGTTGTGTGGCGATGCTTTGGCAATATGAAGCAACTGGTGACATTGCAGTATTGTCTCCTATAGGAGGACTTGGTGGGGAGGAAACAAAGGGCTCTTTACCAGCCATGCTGAATTGAAAAAGAAAAGAAAAAGGGGGGGGTGGTCTGGTGTAAATAAGGAGATAAAAAAATAGCCATCTTTTTGTATCATAAGATCTCTCGTTGGAAATCAGCAGCTCTTCTGTGTATACTCTCTTGGTAACAGACTCATGTGATGGAAACCCTTGTGGACAGCTTAATTGGTGCTGAGGTAACGAAAGGAATGAGAAGCAGTAAGCAGAATGAGTCAGCTGCCAGAGGACAGAATTAGCATTTGGACGCCTTCTGACATAAGAGAGAAGTTGCTGGGTAAATGGGAGAAAGTACACGATTAGGGATTAGCTGTAAAGAGAGTTTTTGGTCTGGTTGTTGTTTCGAAATCACAGGCTAGGATCCTAAGCAGAGAGATAGACTTGAAAGTAGTGTTGCTTAGGGGAGACACCAGGGCTTTGATCACTAAAGCCCAAAATTAAACTCGGAAATGCGGAACTCTGGAGGAGCTTCCTCACCCACGGCCGGAAAGAAAATGGAAACAGTATACTGACATTTTTCAATCTTGTAAAAATTATTTTACATCTAATTTTTACTTAAGGATATTTAATTAACAAAATAGTTGATTGTGTGTATTAATGGTATATAACATGATGTTGGGCTGTATGCATTCATTGTGAAATAGTTACCACAAATTGATTAACACATTCGTCACACAGCAGGTCCCCAGAACTTGCTGGTTTTATGACGGGAAGTTTGTATCCTTCTAAGAATGTCACCCCATTTCTCCTACACCCAGCAGCTGGCAACTGCCACTCTACTCTCTGTCTCTATGGGTTTGACATTTCTCAGATTCTACATATAACTAAGATCATACGGTGTTTACTGCTCTGTGTCTGGGCCAAGAGATTTTCTTTAGCTTAGTAAAAGGCAAAGCGAAAGGCTCCTAGTGGTGAGGGGTGACATCCAGTTCCTCTTGTGTAGACACACACTTGCTCAAATCCACGACTGTGCCCGTCAGCTAATAGGGTAGATAAACAGCATTTGTGACCCAGTATGATGCCTGCCTCCCACCGAACAGCCCTGTCGTTCTCTGGCTTTTAGTTATTCTAGTCTGTGAGGGCAGAGCTGTCTGAGGTCCGAGAGTCTGAGCCAAGTGCCTGCCGTGACATAGGTGCTCAGTAAACCTATGAAGAATTGTAAGAAGGGCGTCATCAACAATTTGACCTTGAAGCCTGAATAAGAAATGGAATCATATGGATTTATTTAATCAAGATTCACCCTGCTTATAGCTATTTTTTTACTAATTATTAATAGTGACTAAAATGTATGGTTGACTATTACAGCCTAGGACCAGCCCTAAGTTCTTCATATACATTGTCTTAAATCAGTCTGAAAGTCCAACATAGGTGTTTAAAGTTGTAGGAAAATGAGAATTTGAGAAATAGAGATTCAGTGCCTTGTTTCCTACTCTAGCCGCACGATACTGAACAAGGCACTCACGCTCCCTGTGTTTCCTCGTCTGTGAAATGGGTAAATGATAGCATTCTGTCACCAAGTTGCCTTGAGAACTAAATGAGATTATGCTTTTGAAGCATTTTACTTTTATCATTACACATTATGTATACACAGTAATGGATTTCATTATATCGAATTTCATATTCACACACACACACAACCTCGCCTCCCTCGCTCACCCTTTCTCTACCTCTTCCCAGTTCCCCCTCTTCTTCTTTTGCGCCTTTTTCTTTACCTTTGGTGACCTAATGAGTTTCATTAGGATTGCTCACAGGACCATTCATGAAGAAAATGTTTTTCCTCCGTCAATTATCAACTGCCTACACATTCTCAAGGAAACGTGAAGCCCCGCCTTCCCAGTTCCACAGCAAGGTATTGGCAGGTCCAATCTTGTGCAGACCTGTGGGTATCGCTACACCAGCTGCGAGGTCAGTAGAGCAGACGTGCGACGCTCAAAAGTCAGGGTTCAGTGCTGCCCCTCCCCCATCTTCCTCTAATTCTTCTCATTCTTTTTCTTTCCACTTGCTCACTAATGTTCCCTGAGCCTTGGAGGAGGAGCATAGTATAGATGTCTCACTTAGGAGTGGGCTGCAAAAGTCATTTATACTCCGTACTTTAACCTCTTAGAGTCACTGCTGACAAAAGACAAAGATGCTTCCTTGACCACAGTGGATGGCAGAACTCTTCTGTGTGTCTGACATTGTTATTTAGAAGGTAATTTGATAGACATACCGCATCTCTACAGCAAAACAGCAATGGTAGCTTCCTTACTAAGGTCTGTGACTCCCTGTCCCAGCCATGGGCTACCGATCGTATCTATAGTACCGTGTGTCAAACCCAATCCAAACCCAATCAGAAAGTGATAGGTGACCTCCGTGATAGACTTGCCACTGTTTGACCAGTCAGCTCATTTTGCATATCTCAGAACTGTTGCAAGTAAGGTCCACGGCTTTGTGAGTATGCCGTTATTATTGATGACAATCCTCCCCCAGCAGTGCCGCATTAATTTCAATCTAGGTAATAACAGCGCGTATTTGTAGCCATAGTTTCATTTTTAATGGACCAAATGAAGCTAGAAGAGTTAGGCAACTGTCTTTGAGTTGCATCTCACGCTAATAGCAGAACCAGCATAGTAATCAAGACTTTTCTAACTCTAAATTGACTTCTTCTGGTCTATATACAGATGTGTTTGTGTATATTCTAGTGTGC